ACAACTGGGTATCAACTCTGCTCCTTCCGTTCATCCCTCTGTACCTGTGCAGTGGGGCGGCAGAAGGATGGGGCTCCTTCTTCCATCTCAGATGCTTCCAACCTTTCCCTTGTCACATATTCGCCACTCCCTGGAACTGACTTCTTAGGAGTCTCTAATCTTTAATACACATTGATTTGTATTAGGTGATCTCCGTGCGATTATAGGGTCTGTGGCATTCTAAGAGAAAAGCTTCAATTTTCTTCAGCTTTTGTTCCTCGACTGCTGCTGGCAGAGCAGATGAATGGAATAGAGTTCTTTCCTTCAGCTCAGCTTCTTTTTCTGTAGCCTTGTTTTAGCAGCTTTATGATATGCATGTAAAGTCTTTTGATAAACTTTTATTTGCTTCTCAGTAGTTTTTAAATCATTTGTGAGCCTCTCCCTTTTACTTACTTTTTTTTTTTTTGTCTGTTTTTTGTTGTTATAGCCATCCTGGGGTCTCCAGCTAGTGGAATTCAAAACACAATTGGTTCTGTTGGCACAGGGCAACAGAATGCCACTTCTTTAAGTAACCCAAATCCCATAGACCCCAGCTCCATGCAGCGAGCCTACGCTGCTCTTGGACTCCCCTACATGAACCAGCCCCAGACGCAGCTGCAGCCTCAGGTTCCTGGCCAGCAACCAGCACAGCCTCAAACCCACCAGCAGATGAGGACTCTCAACCCCCTGGGTAGGTGGAGGAACTCTTCAGAACTTCCTTTGTCCAGATGCACCAAATGGAATGACAACTCTCACTGGAACCTAAGGCTGTTTTCAGTTATTGTTTTTATTCGAATTCAATTGTTGAAATATAAACCTTCCAGGAAAAAGCTAAAGTATCTGAGGAAAGGAAGATGTTATGTGCTTGTAAAAAGAATAGCATTTGCAAATGATGCAACATTTTTGTTGCTTGCTGTGTCACTCTGGAGAGTTTTCACAAAGGTCATGTCACGTGGCTCAGAAATGCAGAATCTCACAAGTTAGAATTATGGCTGTACCACTTGGCCTTGTCCGGGTGGTGACTATAGCGACTCAGGGTATCAGGATCATCACATGGCGATGCTCAATAGACTGTTATTTGATGGAGAATTTGTCAGTGGTTTGCCAGTTCCTAGTATCTGTGGTTACAGTCTAGTCCACAACTGAAAATGACCAGCCTGGACCTGGTCAGGTGAACAATAGGAGTCTCTCTGCTGTCTGAGGCTTCTAGATGGATCCGTATTTCCTATTGTCACCCCAGCCCATTATTTGCCAGCCTTTTGTCCATTGCTACTCATCTCCACAATTTTTGCCATTTCTGCATATTGTTTCCCTAATGTTTTTCTTTAAATTGACAGTCTCTTTAAATCTAGGCTTAAGCTAAGCAGTGATATCTATGAAGTCAAGACTTGTTGTACTAGTTCTGTTAGTTTCCAAATAGAATAAATATTTTTCTTCTAAAAATGACTCTTTAAAAAATGACCAATTTGGGCCGGCCCGGTGGCGCACTCGGTAGAGTGTGGCACTTGGGAGCGCAGTGGCGCTCCCGCCGAGGGTTTGGATCCCATATAGAGACCGGTCCGCTCACTGGTTGAGCGTGGTGCGGGCGCGACACCGAGGGTTGCGATCCCGTTGCCGGTCGCAGTACGGGCACGACACCACGGGTTGCAATCCCGTTACTGGTCACGAAAAAAGACAAAAAGGAAAAAAAAAATGACCAATTAAAATCATTTCATTTGTGGGCCGGCCCGGTGGCGCACTGCTACAGTGAGCCGCTTGGGAGCGCAGCGGCGCTCCCGCCGATGGTTCGGATCCCACATACAGACCGGTTCCCGCTCACTGGCTGAGCGAGGGGCGGGCGCAGCACCGAGGGTTGCGATCCCGTTGCCGGTCCCGGTCCAGTACGGGCGCAACACTGAGGGTTGCGGTCCGTTGCCGGACACGAAAAACGACAAAAAAAAAAATCATTTCATTTGTTTCTTTTTGGAAAACAACTGCCTTAAGGAATATTGAATTAATACTGGCCAGAAGGCTGGGTTGGAGTCCTAAGACCCAAGTTCTAATCTAACTCTACTCCTATTGGTGGTATAATTTGGGACAAGACTATTAACCTCTTTGAGTCTCAACTTTTTCTTACTTGATATGAAAATTGTAGACAAGTTGACCTTCTATATTAATGAAGCAAAATCAAAGTTTGAGGCTGCAGATGGGTCATTTATCATTTTTTCCAAAGCTATAGATTGCAATACCAGCTAGCCTCCATAAACACACCTATTTTCGTTACAAGGTAGAGTACGAGGAAGTCTACAACTGAATTTGAACAAGTCAGTTACCATTACTGAAAATAGTAACTCCCAGAGTTCCTGCCATACTGTTTATAATTCATAAGAATCACTTGTTTATATGGTGATATGTTTATCTGTTATCAAAACTTGGAAGAATATTTCATAATTTAGGAGGTGCTTGATTCTTCTCTTTCTGTCTTTAAAGGAAATAACCCAATGAACATTCCAGCAGGAGGAATAACAACAGATCAGCAACCACCAAACTTGATTTCAGAATCAGCTCTTCCAACTTCCCTTGGGGCGACAAAGTAAGATCCATATTTCAGTCGACCCCCATCTGAGTGACAGTAGGACATGAAAGGGGCGGAAGTCACAAAACTCTGTGACTCTTTCTAAATGTGTGGCAGAGAAAATAGTTTAAATAGGGCAGTGGGAGGTGAATGCTGTTTTTGTTCTTGTTTTTGGTTTCTTTTTCCTTTTTTTAAATGATAAATGTAGAACAGATAATAGGTTAAACATAGTTTAAGGCTTTTAAGGCTTCTTGTATATACATCCCTTGCCTCTCCTGACTTGTACTGTTTAAAGTCACGTGTGTTTGAAGAAGAAACTTCCTCAGATGAGGCATATTGAGTTACTTCAGTAGATGAATGAAATGTTCTTGTTCCTCCCTTAGCCCACTCATGAATGATGGCTCAAACTCTGGTAACATTGGAACTCTCAGCACTATACCTACAGCGGCACCTCCTTCCAGCACTGGCGTTCGGAAAGGCTGGCACGAACATGTCACTCAGGACCTGCGGAGCCATCTAGTGCATAAACTGTACGTACCCACCCATTATCTATGTGTTGTGGCTGAAGGCAGTGTAACAGTTTTGCAGTCTCATAGTTGCCTATTGGCCCCCAGGTGACGGTACCCTAGGATCTGAAGAGGGTCACATGCTTGTTTTAGGGAGTCCTGGACCGTGTATCCCTGGTGGGCTGTATCTTTGGGCAGCCCACATCATGGAGGCAGAGACCCCCCAGTCAGCCTGACATTTTGTGCCTCTGAGCTCTGGATGCATGTGGGGGCTGGAATTAGCTCAAGAGCCTTGCCTTAATTTTTGGCTCCAGATTAATAGTTGTGGAAACCCCTAAGGATTGGGGAAATTCAGGCCTGGTTAGCGCAGATGGCATGACAGTACACCGTGCAGTAAGTTAACATACAGAAAGTTAACAGTTATCTTTCTTGAGTCAGTTATCTGAAATCGAAGGTGAACTTAATCAACTAGATCCCCTTTGAGTGTTTTTTTCCTTATTTTGATCAAAAATTTTTTTCGTAATAAATAGTTTAAAGATGAGGAGTTTGAAGTCATGTCATTCTTGAAATGGCCCAGCACATATTTATTAACAGCAAAATATTTGTGTGTTTGGCATGTAGATAAGTTGATAGGTCAAGATTGTTTCTAGGGAGTGACTTCATTTGTGTGTTCATGTTCTAGAGGCAAGCGAGACTTGGCATTTCTCCCAACACCATTTTGCCACCATTGGTCAATGATCTTGATTTTATAGTTCTCATTTGACCGCATTGATGGTAGGTTGATGGAGTGTGTTGTCCTTTCAGTGTCCAAGCCATCTTCCCAACACCTGACCCCGCAGCTCTCAAGGATCGCCGCATGGAGAACCTGGTGGCCTATGCGAAGAAAGTGGAAGGGGACATGTATGAGTCTGCAAACAGCAGGGTAGGTTGCCACACAGTGCACTCTGGCCTGGAAAACACTTGCAGTGATAGAACTGTGCCTGTCCGGTTTGTTATCCAAAAATGGGGGAAATCCATTTAGTCAGGGGATGCTTCTCCCCTTGAGGTCTCTGACCAGGGAACCTTCTGAGACAAGACCCGACATTCTGCATAACTCTTGTGGTTAACTGCAAGTGTTACCACTCTTTTGGTAAATGGGATTTATAAAACTGCATTACATCAATGGGGTATACTTTTCACAGTGGGTGTTCTTTATGATGCTTGTATTATATTGCCAGTACCAGGGAATAGCCAAGAAGAGGTTCATTGAATCATGGAATGAAATGGAACAGTTTGATGAGTCCTATAAAGTCACTAGGAATTAAGCAAGAATTTGGGCCTTTGGTTTATCAGACTTGTTGAATATTTACCTTGACAATGCCCTTAATAAAAAAGTTCATTAGTCTATTGGAAGATACATCAGATCATTCATTTTCTTAGTTTTAATTGCTTAATATTGACTGTTACTGCTTTTTAGGATGAATACTATCACTTATTAGCAGAGAAAATCTACAAAATACAGAAAGAACTAGAAGAAAAACGGAGGTCACGTTTACATAAACAAGGCATCTTGGGTAGCCAGCCGGCCTTACCAGCCCCAGGAGCTCAGCCCCCCGGGATTCCACAGGGGCAACCTGTGAGACCTCCAAGTAAGGACTTCATTTCCTTCTACCAGTCCTCAGCCTGTTTGCTTGGATTTTCTTGCGTTTGGAGCTTATTCCTAAGAAATAGAATTATGTTCTCCGAAAGTCTGCACTTGAACAGCGGTTGGTGTGGCAGTGACCAGGAGCCCCTGCCTGGGCTGTGATGGGAAGTTGAGTTGCTCTTGTGGGAAAGCCTTTTATTTTTTTTTCACATTTATGTTTATTAAAAACTGACATAAACAAACAAAACCTATACAAAAAATATCCCATATCACTTTGAAACAGTAGTCTTGAGACATGTTATTGCCTAGGACCCCCTCTTCCTCAGCCATGTCCTCTTCCTCAGCCTCTTCCTGCAACAGCTTCCTTATTCTTAGATTTCACCTTAGGTTCAACACCCATACGTAGTGCATACAGGGGTAAACTGTCTGGTAGGATAAAGTATCGAATGTTATTTCCTCAAACACTCAGTGTTTCCAGCTGTACAGGTTCTCTGTTCTTCGGGGTCATTTTCAGTTTAAGATGTGTATTCATGCTGACATCTACACCTGTGATTGTTCCATGGGCCTGTGTTCCATTCTTCAGTTCAGTGGTTAAAGTCTCATGACTCAATTTTGTCAAAGATCTTATAAGTTTCATCCTAGCGGTGCCATCAGCCTTTCGGTGCACTAGTGCACAGAATCCTATCAGTTGAGGCCGGCTGACTGGGAATGTGATGGCTGGGACTGCCTAGTCCCCAGGTTCCAGACGTAAAGAGCACGCTGACGGAAGGCCCTGTAAGGAGTGCACTGGCATTAGAACACAAGTGCTTTTGGACTTGTTGACTGTTTTTCCCTTTAAGTTTGAAGTCTTCTATAGGAAATCCCTTATTCCTAAATTAAGGATTATTTTAAATAACCAGGTTTTTTTGCCATTATAGATGGGCCCCTGCCCCTGCCAGTGAATCGCATGCAGGTTTCTCAAGGTATTTAACTGTTTGTTGTGAATCATTTTTTAGTTTTAATATTCAACAGCCACAACATTTGTTGTGTTTTTTCCTCTTCCCCTGTGTATTTGTAGCCTTTTCTTACTTTCTACTTCTTTCCATTCCAAGCACCTGCAGGGGGTGATGTGGGGGTGCCGTGGCTGCTACTGGCCGTGGGGTGTAAGCCCGGCTGTCTAGGTGTCAGCCTCAGGGGGCTGTGTACACCGAGATCCAGCACCAGGCTGAGGTAGTTGCAGCTGTTCAAACAGCCTTTGAAGGTTCTCTCAAGTAGAGGTTCTGTGGTTTTTGCTTCGTTGAAGCAATCGTTTTTGTTTGGGAGTTCAAGAACAGGGGACATTTGAAAGCCTTGCAACTCTTGACACCTTGAGACCTGAGCAGTAGGACGTTTTTCCAGACTCTGAAAGAAGGTGGTAACATTATCCAGAAGATTCTAAAGAAAGAGGCCTTGCTGCAGTGTACAGAGCAGTGTGGGAGGGGAGAAGAGGTCATTGAAAAAGCTGCAGTAGTCTCACTGCATGCTGAAAAAGACATGATAGATAAAATGCTATTATGGAGAAAACTTTTCAGAGACTTGTTTTGATGAAGTAGATGTGAGAGGTGAAAGAAATCAAGAAGTTGAAATCAAGAAGAGAAATTGAGGCCAAATGCTGTGTTGGGGATGACGTGGACTTGGTCTAGTAGAAAGGTGGTGCAGGCTTTGAGTATGATGAGACAGCCAGTTAACCACGAAGTACTGGCAGATGGTTTTTAGGTGAGTACTTATTGATGACCTCTCTACCAGCACACCTAGGTCTGTGTAAACATGGACTTCATTAGGTGATGTTTCTTAGTACCTCTTTTTCTCTTGCTTAGTTGAGAAAATTTCTCAAGGAGAGAGGAAGCTTTTATGTTATAGGCCCCTCGAAAAGTCCTGCTGGCCTGAGTTGGCACTTGGTTATTTGAGGGTGGCATTTCTTGATAGTCATTCGAGGCAGTGCTGAGGGGGGCAGATGTTCTCTCTGAGACCCTCTCATGGCTGCAGCAGTGTTAAGGCAGTACTCCAGAAGTTCTTTTGAGGATTCTGTTGGATCCCAGTGTTGGTCCTAAGACTAACTTGAACCGGCATTTATTTAGAGCTCAGAGTTGACAGAATATTGTTGGAAATCAGAAAGAGCTAGACACTGTGGTCTGCAGACACTAAGCAGTTAGTGAAGTCTCTTTCAGTGGGTGGTGTCCCTGCAAACTACAGGTGGCTGAGGCTGAGAACTCCTGACCCTTGGGTACTTACAGACACTTAAAGTGCTTGCAAAATTACAAGTGTTTGAGTCTTAGCAATTTATTGTTAGATTCTAACAATAAATGTGAACCCACCCAAGGAGCTGGGATGATGGGAGCAGAGGCAGCTGCTCCAGAGGCCTTGAGCAGGGCACCCTCAGAGATCTCTTCCATAGATTGGTGGTGGGGTGGGGCCTGGCAGGTCAGGCCTTGTCCCTTCGCGGCACCCTCACCTCCTTGTTGTTTTGGCGCTTTGTGCAGTGAGCTGCCTGCCAGTCAGCTCTGCCTCGGCTTCACTTGCTCACCCATTGTGTTTCACCCGACCTTCTGCCCTCATGTCCTCGTCCTGCCCTAGCACCAGCCCCCCACCCTCTCACCAGCACCACGCTGATGCCATCTTCCCTGGACATGGAAACATCTGTCATTTCCTCATCTTCTCTGATTAATTGGTGATTTCCTTTTAGTTGTCTATGTCACGTATGTGTTCCATCTTATTTTACTGAGAGTTTATTTGGCAAGTTGTAATTCTGTTTTCCTCCAGGCACTTTTCCTAATGAACCATTGCGGGTCCATTTACAGGGATGAATTCATTTAACCCAATGTCCTTGGGGAATGTCCAGTTGCCACAAGCACCCATGGGACCACGCACGGCCTCCCCCATGAACCACTCTGTCCAGATGAACAGCATGGGCTCAGTGCCGGGGGTAAGTGCTTCTCCTTTCCTCCCTATGCTGCAGAAAGCCCTCGCTGCCTAGGCAGTGAAATTCTCTGTCATCTGAGAATCCTGTGGTACATGATCCCTTGAATTTGGGTTATGCTTTATTTCCTTCAAGTCTTTTGTTTTATTTTGTGGCTGCTAGCCAGTACAGGGATCTGAACCCTTGACCTTTAACCAGCTGAGCTAACCAGCCAGCCCCTTCGTGTCTTTTAAATCTTCATTACTACAGTGTGAATTACTTGACCCTTATTTATTTTTATTGGAATAACAAATTCATAAGTATGTGTGACTTTGTAGAAGATAGGAGTTTGAGGATGGAGTAGGCAGCTACAGATGTGTGGCTGAGAGAGTATGATCACATCTGTGGACTCAAGAACCTGCTCTCCTAAGGCTGCTTTTAAACACTTTAAGAAAAGGAATGTTTTGAACTTTACACCATGCTAGTGATTTCTGTTCACAGGATACCTTGAAGTTGGCCTAAGAAGGCATGTTAAGTGCCCAGGAGCCAGGAACTCTTAGCGAGTGGTGGTCTCTTCCCGTGAGGAAGGGGGGCATTTGGCCATGTGCTTCCTGTCCTCTGGGGTTGTAAGGCCTCTGGTCTTCTGACTGAACTTTTCACCTTGAAGGTTATGGCCCTTCAACTCTGAACTACAGCTCCGTGGTGCTTGTTGTCTTGTAGATGGCCATTTCTCCTTCCCGGATGCCTCAGCCTCCCAGCATGATGGGCGCACACGCCAACAACCTGATGGCCCAGGCACCCGCTCAGAGCCAGTTTCTGCCGCAGAACCAGTTCCCGTCATCCAGTGGGGCGCTGAGTGTGAACAGCGTGGGCATGGGGCAGCCGGCAGCCCAGACTGGCGTATCGCAGGTATCCTTTGCCACCTTCTCACAACATGAGCCTGTCTCAGTTCCTGGAAATCAGAACTGTAGGGTACACATTTTATTTTTCATGTGTCAACATCTCTCTATTTTCCCTCACTTTGTCCTGTAATCTTTAACATGGAAAAGTGGCATGGATTGTGAGTCTTCAGTTTGTGTGCTTTTGTGTCTTAATCTTTGGGTATTTAGTTGTTTTCTTGTTTGTTTATGTATTTTAAATTCTAAGTTTGACATGTGATTCCAAGAGACATTGGGATTTAAAGAAGGGAGTGAGCAAGGTCTTGTGAGTTCACTCCTGCTGGTTTGGTTTGTAGCCTGTCTCTCTCAACTGCCCCAGGGAAGTCAGGCTCACTGAGTCATTTGAGTATTTCTCTTCTTGTTAGATGTGTTTTTAATTATTCAATCTAAAGCTGAAGAAAACTATTTTCCATTTTTTTACTGCTTTTTTTCTCTTCTGTTAATTGTAGTGCATTAGATTGCTACTGTGTCCCAAATGGAAATGCATTTAAAACAGGCCAGATCTTCCCAAAAAGATAAAATTTGTGTTTTAATTTTTTAACATGAAGTAATGCTGAGTAAATCATTAAATGCTAGATTTACTCAGTAAATAATTATTAATTCTTATTTTTCCACAGCATCTTACTGCTCTAAATGAGTCTACAAGCTTTGGTTTTTTTTGTGTGTGTGTGTGTGTGTGTCTTTTTCATGACCGGTAAGGGGATCGCAACCCTTGGTGTGGGCGAGGGTGTTGACCACACCTCGCTCAACCAGTGAGCGCACTGGCCATTCCTATATAGGATCCGAACCCGCGGCAGGAGCGTAGCTGCGCTCCCAGCGCTGCACTCTCCCGAGTGCGCCACGGGCTCGGCCCTTACAAGCTTTTTTTTAAAGGGCTAGATAGTAAATATTTTCAGCTTTATGGGGCATGTAGTTTTGGTTTTATTATTCAACTCTGCTGTTTTAGACACAAGTAGCCGTAGATACTACATAAATGGATCGGTGTGGGTGTGTTCCAACAGGACTCTATTACAGGGACAAGCAGCCAGCTGCATTGGCTCAGCGGCCATAGTGTGCCAACCCCTGCTCCGCAATAGTGATTTGGAATCGCAAATAATTCCGAAGTAGCTCCCCAGTTGAGAACCACTGCATTGAAACATTTCAGTGTTTCAGTAGCTTGTTTTTTATTTTTATTTTATTTTATTTTATTTTATTTTATTTTATTTTTTTTTGTCTTTTGTCTTTTTTCCGTGTCCGGCAACGGATCGCAACCCTCAGTGTTGCCCCCGTACCGGACCGGCAACGGGATTGCAAGCCTCGGTGTTGCTCCCGCGCCTCGCTCAGCCAGTGAGCGGGAGCCGGTCTGTATGTGGGATCCGAACCCTCGGACGGGAGCGCCGCTGCGCTTCCCAAGCGGCGCACTATCCAGTGCGCCACCGGACCGGCCCCAGTAGCTTGTTTTTTAAAAAAAGAGAAATACCTTTTTCTTTGGTCAGAGCTATGGGTGGATGTTATGGAGCATGAAGCTGATAAGCTTTGTGAATGTGTATGTGTGTGTTTAAGCTACAAGTTTTGACAGTTATTTTAGTCATCTAAATCAAAGTATGAGAGACATTTGTGTTTTTAACTTAATTGTAAAGTGCACATTGTTTAATTGTATAGCTCAATGTATTTTTACAAATGGAATATTCCCATGAAAACAGCAGACTACTTCAAGAAACCACAATTAGATTTTCATACATTTAATTCTTCAAATCATTGTCTCATTTTCAAGTGGGAGAAATAATTGTAACATACTTTGTCTGT